TACGTATAGTAGATTTTCTTGATTGAAACATGTAATTATATATTCTAAATTAAGTACACGAGTTAAGAACTCTTTTATTTTTAGGTACAGTAAATAAAAGAAAATGAGTACTAATGATTTTCATTGACGCAATATGAAAAACCTTAGATGAGTTTCCAAGAATGACCATAAAAAGTTAAATTGGTGTTTATTTGATCTATTTAAAACTTTACTTTCCAATATGAAATTCACGTATTGGTGAATTGGGGAAAATGAACAGTGTTCCCCACTAAGGTTTTATTGGTAAAGTTAATTGATCTTACTATATACAAAGTGAAGTGGTGAAAATGAAAATGAATATTGTTCCCTCCCCCGACACAATATCATATTGAGAGATCTCTATATCTTGCTAGCCTGTTCTAGAGATACGTGTACATATAGTTTTAGCAAAAATATTTTGGGAGTATTTGTTTATAAAAAATTAAAAAGTGCTTTTTCAACTTTTGACTAATAAAAGCTCAAATTGGTGTTTTTAAGTGATAACTTCTACATAAATCAAACTTTTTTTTATCGAAGAGGGTTTAATTCATAAAAATAGCATTCAGCAGGGGTATTTGATAATAAAAGAACCACATGTAACCATCCGCCCTTAATCGAGACTGAGAGTTAACCACCTGTAAAAAAGCAGTATAACTCGCTAGACCTGAATTGAACAACTTAAAGCCAATGATGATTACCGCAGACTTCTCATCCCCCAAACCTAATGCAAGAGTTTTACAGCATAAAATAAAATAACACACAAACGTCTTAACCTGGAAATTAAAATGCAGAAAAAATAAATAATCAAACTCCAAACCGCGTCGATCAACCTTTGGCGGTGGTTCTGGAGGAGGCCGGACTCTTGCGTCGGCAGATGTTGCACCAAAGCGGCTCACCTCCAACTCGACCGCCCCTTCCTCAGCATCAACAATCGCCAATTTGTCCGTATCTTGCACTGCTCGGCTCTCCTTATCTGCGTGAAATTGTCCTCCAATCCCCTGCTTACCGACTCCAGTCATCTCCGTCTGCAGTCGACCTCCTTCGATCATCTTTACCGCACCAGCACCGCCGATCTTCGAAAGATTCGAAATCGGAAAACGAAACCCTAGCGGCCACCGCCCTAGAGAGCTCCGAAGCTTTAGAGAGATAAAGTCTCACCTCCGTTCTAATTATATTTGTGTGTACATAAATTAAACATTTAAAAGCTGATAACATTTGCACAAATAATTTATTGCTTACTGCATCATGTTCGAATTTAAAAGTAATATTTTATGATAGTCAAATATTCAATTCAAATTTTTATATTAGAATATACTCCGTATGATCATTTGTTTTTCCTAATTATATACGGAGTACTATATACTCCATATCATGCATTATGTATAAGTTTTAAATTGTAATTTTAATTAGAATTAATAAAAAAATAATGGAATACTGTGGAATTGCATTTCTTTCTTGTTTTTGCTCGACATTTTGCATAGGAAAATCAATAGTGTTATAAACCAAACAATTTTAGAAATCTAGAGTAAGAAACATGTGCAGTGGCTTATAATTCCCTAGAAGAAACAAACTACATGTGGATAATAGTAGTTCAAATTGTATATGAATTTGGATTTTGTGTGTAGCTAATTAATAATCTAACATCTATATGTGTTATTGTTATTACTAATACTAGTATTGTTGTTGTTATTATGGTTATTGTTATTGTTATTGTTATCTTTGAGAAATGATCCTGTCAAGTCGGAGGGACAAAATCCTACGTCCAGCCGTCACTGTTTGGGGTTGTTCCCAGTGGAATTTTTTGATGAAATTTTGTGAGGATGTTTTTCATCAAGTCTAGTTTATCCACAAAACATTTCAGCTAAAAATTCGATCGAAAAGGTAGTCAAATAATTTTTGGAAGATAGTTACGCCAAATTAAACATATAAAACACAGTTATTTTCAAAAAATTATTTAACTGCCTTGTTGAATGTTTTGTGAATAAACTAGAATATAACAAAAAAAATTCATTAAAACATTTCACCAGAAACCCGCTGCAGGATGGAGTATCCTGTCCATCCTGCTATATTTTCCGTGTTATCGTTATCGTCGTTGGCATGAATAGTTGTGTCGTTGTGTAATTAGATGGTGTAGACGTGTAGTTGTTTCTGTAAGGCATATACTGCAGAGGGGTTGGGTTATCAGTAAGAAGCTTTGAGCTATGGTTCTTTGCGATGTAGGGCATGTTTGGCACAACTAGCTGAAAAGATACTTTTGTGAGCTTTTTAATAGCTGTTAGCTTTTAGTGTCTGAAAAGATCTTAAAAAGAAAAGGTGGTAGCTGTTTGATAAAAAGCTGACTGTTTGATTTAGTTCGGTTTGGTATACAAGCTGTTAGGATTAATTAATACTAAAAGTCACTAGCTTTTCTTAGATGCTACTCCCGGTAGCATATAAAAAAAGATCTTTTAATTTTTGAAAAACTCTTAAATATTGTCATGCCAAACACACAACTAGAAGCTTTTAAGATCTTTTTGAACAGTACAAAAGCTAGAAGTCAGGGACTTATGCCCGCCAACATAGCCGTAATCTAATCTCTTAGGACATGTTTACTTCACCGGTTATTAAACGGTGCTTATTAAGACCCGTGTTAATAAGCGGCGCATAAAATAAACAATGTTGTAAGACCGTGTTTACTTCAAACGGTTTAAAACACCGCTTAACATTAAAATGTCCAAAATAACCCTATACATATATATACACACAAACATTCATGAACACAAGTATATAATATAATATGTGTACCCATACCCCTAACCCCTTACCCACCCTACCTTACCCCGACCCCACCCCACCGCCTACCCCTACCCTACCTACCTGACCCCACCCTACCTACCCGACCCCACCCTAACCTGTCCCCACCCTACCCTACCCCCGACCCCATAGGCCCCTACCCCCATAGGCCCGTAGGGGTAGGGGTAAGGTGGGGTCGGGTAGGGGTAGGGTAGGTGGGGTAAGGGTAGGGGTGGGGTGGGGTAGGTGTGGTAAGGGTAGGGGTGGGGTGGGGGCGGGGTAGTGGGGTAAGGGTAGGGTGGGGGTCGGTTAGGTAGGGTAGGGGTGGGGTAGGTAGGGTGGGGTCGGGGTGGGGTAGGGTGGGGTCGAGGTAGGGTGGGGTCAGGGTAAGGTAGGGTGGGGGTCGGTTAGGTAGGGTAGGGGTGGGGTAGGTAGGGTAGGTGGGGTAAGGGTAGGGGTCGGGGTAGGTGGGGTAAGGGTAGGGTGGGGTCGAGGTAGGGTGGGGTCAGGGTAGGTGGGGTAAGGGTAGGGTGGGGGTCGGTTAGGTAGGGTAGGGGTGGGTAGGTAGGGTGGGGTCGGGGTGGGGTAGGGTAGTTGGGGCAAGGGTAGGGGTGGGGTCGGGGTAGGTGGTGTAGGGGTAGGGTGGGGGTCGGTTAGGTAGGGTAGGGTGGGGTAGGTAGGGTGGGGTCGAGGTAGGTGGGGTAAGGGTAGGGTGGGGTCGGGGTAGGTGGGGTTGGGGTCGAGGTGGGGCAGGGATAACAATAGGTTACGGGCAAGGGGTAAATTCGGAAACTGAAAAAGCTTAAAGTGCCGCTTAATTAATACATGGGGGGTGGTATGCTTAATAAGCGGCACTTTAAGCACCTCTTTCGGTTAGTAAGCGGCTTTTTAAGCAGTGTGCGTGTTTACTTCACCTGTCTTACTAACCTAACTGTGACTTTAGCAGTGAAGTAAACGCCTCCTTAGAGTTGTTGATAAGAGATAACAGTATCCCTTGGGAAGGACATTCCCGGCTAAGGATGGCAATGGGGGCGGGGACCCGTGGGGAACCGCCCCGCGGGGTAGGGATGGGGCGGGGCTTGGGGTGGGGTGGGGACGGGGATGGGTAAGATATTTTTACGCCGTTAAAATATGGGGCGGGGGACGGGTATTGCTACACCCGCCCCATCCCCGCCCCGTCCCCGTTATAAATATATACTCACACATATAAATAATGTAAACACATATTAACAACGTATAAATATACACATATATAAATAATGTACACACATATTAGATTAAATTATATGTAGTGTATAACAAACACATATACATATAGACATACATAATTGTATACGGTTTAATCATGGTTAATAAATTAATACATACGGAGTATTATACTAGAATAATAATAAGCTAGTAATGAATAAAAATATTTATCATAAAAGTTACATGAGTTTTAAGAGTGAGAAAGTGAGTCAATAAATACACACACATTTATATGTAATATAATATGTAATTAATTGTATAATAATTGTTGAAAGTTTTGAAACAACGTACATGATGATAATATATTTATACTTTTTTTTAATTTATACTTTAATTATCTTCAATTCACAAAACTTATTCAAAAGAAAGAATTATTAAAATTGGCGAGATTAACTTTTAACAAACACAATACTTCAATAGTGCGTGTGTGTATCATATATTACTGTGCGCGCATAGATGTATATAGGTTTAAGGTCAAATGAGAACAACGCTTAATGTGAGAACGTGCGAGCACCACATTTACCCCCAAAGTGAAGCACAATGGGCTCGCACAATGCACTTCTTCGTATCTAGCATAATATTTACAAAAGTGCCACCGTTATTATTTATATTAACTTGTATTGAGCGAAGTTCAAATGTGCACTAGAATGGCTCTATTCTGTATCACATTGGATTAAATGTGTGTGTTTTTCCACGTTAAGCATGGTTCTCATTGGAACCACACTACATATATGTATAATAAGAGATTAAAAGTATATGCAAATACGATAAATTAAATCTATATGGGAGCACCTGTGGGCACCCGTGGGGCACAACGGGGTGGGGCGGGGATGGGGCGGGTTTGGGAGTAACGGGGATGGGGCGGGGATGGGGGGAACTTTTTAGACATGGGGCGGGGATGGAGGAGTGTACCCCCGCCCCAAACCCGCCCCATTGCCATCCCTATTCCCGGCCCATGAGTTCTGCATGTTTCCCCCATGCGTGGGCTACGGACTATAAAACATGAACCCGCGCCCGTCAAATCCCTAGTTATTCGTCATGGAGAAGATTGGCAACGATCCAGCTCCAGATTGTTGCGAATTCCCTTTGAAAAGGTACAAGACGCACCAGTCCTCACCCATCTCCAAGACCTTTCTGTTACATTGTGGGGATCAGAAAGCAGCGGACGATAGTCTCGAATCTGGCGAAGAAAAATTGATCGATGGAAGCAACAACAGCACAGCGCGACATGTGTCAGATCCGGAATCTATGGAGGAAAAATTGGGCGATGGAAGCAGCGGCATCACCATGCCGAGCGAGGAAGAGGAGATGAGTTCGGATGAAGAAAGGGATGGCGGCGATTTTGAAGTAGGCGTGATCTACGCTGATAATGACTGCTATGAGTCGATGGAGGACGATGATGAGAAAACCTACGACAGTACCGCCACCAACGACAGTGATGATTCTTATGCTGGAAACATGAGTGACTATGAAAGTAAAAAGGAATATAAGAAAGCAAAGAAGTACAACAAAGTGTTGTCTGAAACGGATGTAATGGCACCTTCATCATATCTTTTTGCGTTTTCTTTCCCTTTTCTTACATAATTTAACAGCTTGATTTTGCTTGTTTAGGGCTTTGGTGTTATCACTGTTATACCAAAAGGGGTTATTAACGGAATATGGCCTATTAAATTGAAGGGAACGCACCAATCTAGATTGGAGAAATACACCGACATGGCCATTCAGAAGTACAACTCTGAAAACGTATGTGCATTATTTTTTCAACAATATGATCTCTGTTTTGTCAGCTCTCCACAATTCTTTATGCTTTGTTCTAATAATTTGGTGATTTATTATTACCCTTCTCACAGGACACAAGTCTGGAATTTGTGGGGATTGTGAGGGCAAACCTTGGAATGGGTTCTGGCTATATTTATTACATAACATTCAGGGCTAGAGACACGGTTTCTGGAGTGGTGAATGCATATGAAGCTAAAGCCTTTCACTCCTACGTTTCAGAGTCTGAGCATTACGTGCTGTTTGTTAGGTTGGCAGAGGAACAGGTAAAATACTGTACCATCTCAGATATCACCTTGTTCCAAACAAAATAGGAAAATTTGAGTGAGTTCTTTTTTTGGAAGCTAAACCTGCTTTGGTTGATTTAATAGTCCATCATTACCATGTTTGCTATTACCATTTGTACTTTAATTTCTCCGTGAATATGGTCTGTATAGGTACCTAGCTTTCTTATTTCAAAGCAAATAGCTTAGGAAGAGAGAATGCACTTGATGGAGTAATAAGACTAGGCCCAGAGCCTAATCGGCCCAAGCCCCGAACTTGGACCCGTGGATCCAAGTTCATGACCTGGAACCTATCTACTAGTCCAGCGGGGAGCCTGTCAGTCCGCCCGACCTGCCAGCTGGGAAAAGTAACGGTCAAGCAATTAATGCGTTGTTTAATTATGTATTTAATTTCGTATTAATGTTGTAATTAATTAGTCATTATTATCGATAGCGGTTACGATTTGTAAGCGCCTATAAAAGGCAAGTTATATTTCGAATACAGACATGCTATTTCTGGCTACCAAACTCTCTAGCTACTTTCCATATTTGCATTGCTTTCCTGATTTCTGCTTGAGTGTTCTTACGTAGCTTTCCTAAAAGCCTACGAGCGTCCTATTTTGGACCAACATTGGTGCTTTCATTGAGAGCTTGGATTCTCTCATATCACTCCGGTGGGAATCAAGAAAGGGAATTTCTGGAAAATCTGTTGAAAAAAAATGAAAACACGAATAAATCGGTTCTGGAAATCCAAAAAAGTTTGGGATCTTCCTCTGTTGACCCGAACTCCAGCTAATCGGGCTTACTGAAGCAGTCAAGATCATTGCCAAGCTCGAGCACTTCACTGCACCACCTGTAGTCTGTCGGGTCGTGGCGGCTCTCGTCGCCTTCGCCCCTGGTTCAGCACCACCGTCGCTTCGAGTTTTAGCACCACCGCCATGAAGGTTCCTGCAAACATACAGCCTAAACAACGTATGAACCCACGGTCTGCCGTCGAGGCCTGAATCAGCCTAATGACCGGCAGCAAAGTGGAGATCGACGCATACCGTATGACTCCAAGACGAGCTCTGCAACTCCACCACCGCCGCACCTGTCACCGCGCCGCCCTCCGTCGAGGTTTGCTGGGCCTGCACGCTGAGATCGAGTTGCGGTATTGGGGACCCCTGGGCGAGATGCTCCGGGCTGGCAATAGGAACCGAGGGCCGCCCCTACTTCGACGATGGCGAGTTCGTCCTCCCTTTCCGGCGGAATCGAGGACATCTCCTCTTCCTCTCCGGAGCTGCAGAACGGCCCTCATTTCTCCGGACCTAACGGGAGTTGCTGAGAAGAAGACGGACCACAATCATTCAACAAGTCTGCATCATTCCACAATTTAGCATGGGCCCAAGGGAATCACCAGGCTCTTATTCATTTCAGCCAAGCCCATCAACAAATGGCCCAAACAAAAGCTAAGTATAAAAAATCATCTATTCCGTATATTTGATACATAGAAAAATTGATTAAGTTGCAAAAAAAAAAAATCATAAATTGCAGCATATTGAAAAGTACATTAAGTGGTATAATTGCTTTTACTCTTTTCAAATGTGTGTAATTTTAACATTGAAAACGGACTTATGAAATCCGATCACTCATGTACACCGGACGAGCACACACACTCGTACAATGGTCGAGCACACACACTCGCGCCACCGGATCACGTCATATGGGTGTGGCGATTAATAAGCTCCAATATAAATGTTAATACCGCACACTCTTGATTTCATACGAGTTCTTGCGTGCTCTTACCCCTTCCCAGTGCATCACACTCCGACCTCGGGGGGATGTGTCGCCCGTTCAAAAGTCTTCACTTGCGGGTTCGAACTACTAACCTCGGGTGCCGAGTTAAACTCTTGTTAGGGGCCTAGAGCCACGCTCTTCCGAGCAATTTTTTTCACTTAATTGACATTCACATTTCCCGAAAAGGTCTATATACTTTAGTTCTGTGGGGTTGGATTATCCGTTCGAATGGTGACTCCGAGTCACTTACTCGCGGATTCAATCTTCCTTTCGGAGGCTGGGTTAAGGCCTAACTTGGGAAATTGATGTCACTCTTTTCAAGTAGTGAGTCCGACTCACTCACTCACTTATTTGACATTCACATTTCCTGAAAAGGTCGATATACTTTAGTTCTGTGGGGTTGGATTATCCGTTCGAATGGTGACTCCGAGTCACTTACTCGCGGATTCAATCTTCCTTTCGGAGGCTGGGTTAAGGCCTAACTTGGGAAATTGATGTCACTCTTTTCAAGTAGTGAGTCCGACTCACTCACTCACTGAGCCGTGGTTCAACACCAGACCAAATGCTCTATTATACACCTGTTGCTTTTATGTGTAGGTACGACTGAACGAGGAGTAGCCTGATGAGTTCAAGCCCGACGAGAAGAACAGTTCTAGTCATCCTCTTACAGATGGAGAGCATTGCAATAAAGGCTGAGGATTTCACCTCTTGTTTCATCTTGGGGGCGTCAGGTGTACTCTTTTTCCCTTCATTGGGATTTTTTCCCATTGGGTTTTTTCCTAATGAAGGTTTTTAATGAGGCATCTCCCCGACATGGACAAAGGCGGGGATCTTCCAGTCTCGAAGAAGAGCAACTGACTTGGACTACTCCCTCTTAGCCGAGTTTACTACTCGACTAAGGGAGTGGGGGACTCGTGATGGAGTAATAAGACTAGGCCCAGAGCCTAATCGGCCCAAGCCCCGAACTTGGACCCGTGGATCCAAGTTCATGACCTGGAACCTATCTACTAGTCCAGCGGGGAGCCTGTCAGTCCGCCCGACCTGCCAGCTGGGAAAAGTAACGGTCAAGCAATTAATGCGTTGTTTAATTATGTATTTAATTTCGTATTAATGTTGTAATTAATTAGTCATTATTATCGATAGCGGTTACGATTTGTATACGCCTATAAAAGGCACGTTGTAATTCAGATTAGGGGGAGCAATGGCATAGGCTATTTCTGGCAACTAAACTTCTCTGACAACTTTCCATTCTCGTATTATTTTCTTGATTCTTGCTTGAGTGTCTATCGTAGCTTTCCTATAAGTATACGAGCGTCCTATTTTGGACCAACAGCACTTTCATCCATTTTTCGCAGCTTCTATCTCGAACTCCCCTCTTTTCCATAGGTTTTTATTGTTCTAAAACTTATATTTTAATAATTGAGCTAGAATCTCGTAATGTGGCTGTAAAAATGTTTTTATAATATAAATAAAAACCTGTACACGTTTATCAAACCAAAAAGGCATGTTAGACATCATAACTCGGATTTGTGATGTAGCCTCAGTTTGTGAATTGAGATCTGGATTCCGAAGTTGGAAGCAATGAATTTGAATGAAGTAGTAAGCAATGAATTGAAGTTAATGGACCAAGAATTTCTATTCTCTGCTCAATAGTTAACATTTTCATGCAATTTCCATTGACTAAGCAATGCAGATCTAAGATTTACTCAAGCTAGTTTTAGAGAACACTTAAGTTTGAGGTACAATCCCTCAGGAATTTACTCAAATCTCACAAACCGCAGTGAATTCTCAAGAATGAAGAACTGCGTGGTTTGTTGGTGGTAATTCAAGTTCAAGTTGAGGGATAATTGGAACAATTCACAACCAATTTGCTCAGCAGCAGTTGTTCATACGAAGAAAATGAACAGTGTATAGTAGGGAGATGCATAGAGTTTAGCTTAATGCAGGGTATATCCTAAATTGGTAACTTGGCTTGTACCTCTTTTAATGAGTTGGGAGAACTTCATAATGAATGTCTCGAACGTATGAGTATAGATTCTGCTGGTGTGTAGTGCAGCTTTTGTGTATGAGAATGTAGCACTTGGCTGTGTAGAGGTTTTATCTTCTTTCTGGAACTAAATCTCCTCTATCATTGCACATTATCAGATAAAATAGAAGATAGTTTGTAGTCCTTTTTTGTGGCAAAACTTGTAATAAATGCTAGCATATATTTCTATGCTATAAAAGCCAAGTGTTCTGATATGTTACTATGATGTTTTTCTTGCAGATGGAAGTTTGAGCAAGTGATATGTTTGGGGAAAAGAACACCGTTTTTTTAGTGCTCCGTATTAAGGATGTTATTGTGCTGTTGGTATTGATTTCTGAACAAGTATCTTTTGTGCATAGCGGTTCCATTCAGAGGGAATCTCCTAATTATTTCACAATCGGTGATTATATGGGTTTGTCACTTTGTAATCACTTTGCAATTATTTGGGAGGGGAATGACCTTAACTTCAACGCTAAGACCAGAATTTGTGTTTATATGGTCTTTGAGAGCAGGGGCGGAGCCAGACTTCACTACAGGGGGAGTGTAGTACAAGTATTACAATGTAAATAAAAATTTGCAATTTTGATCCCATATATTTACTAAGTGCTCATTTAATTTGTAGTGATGATACTTCACTTGCTCACAAATTTCGTCATGTAACTAATAAGTTTTTGATATTTATGTACTTTCCAACCTGAAAGTACATTTTCCTAAAGATAATTCACCGTAAATTGTGCTGTTGATGTCGATTTTTGGCCAAAAAGTATATTTTCGATAAAAAAAATTACAGAACTAAAATTGTAAATATTCCAAGTATAAAATTTACAAATATAGAGACTTAAAGTTTGCCTAATTTTCTTGTAATTTTTTATTTGGGGGGAGGGGGGCTATAATAGTAATAGTAATATTTAAAAAAAAAAAAAAAGTGGGAGGGGCCCTGGCCTCCTTACTCCACAACATACCTCCGCCCCTGTTTGAGAGGGGAGTGACCTTCAGTTTGTAATTATATGGGTTTATCACTTTGCAATTATTTGGGAGGGGAATGACCTAAACTTCAACGCTAAGACCAGAATTGTGTTTATACGGTCTTTGAGAGGGGAGTGACCTTCAGCTTGTAATTATATGTGTTTGTCACTTTTTGCTGCCGGGATCTTTAATCTTTAACTATAAGAGGGGATTGGCCTTTCAATTAGAATGGGCCAGAATTAAGAGAGGATTTGATTTCCTCTAAATGATATTTTCCTTGAGTGTCGTGGGATTCAAATTCAGTGTCATCAATTCTTTGAAAGCACTAAGTGCCATCAGTGTCGTGGGATTCAAATTCAATTAGGGTATGGGAGTTTTTTCACAAATAGACTCAAAAGCGAAGATGTAAGCTCTAAAATGTAAAATTGTTGACCCCTAATTATTGTTTTAAAATAGAGGGAAAATTTACTTCATGTCCTAATATTTTTTTATTGTAAAATGTTTATATTAAAATATTGATAGTCAATATGAAGTATATATAGAAATTACTTCAAATAGGACTAAAACTATGACAAAAACTCAAAATAGGACTTGCTATATTTTTATTCCAAAATAGGATCATAGTGGTCCTATTGGAAACATACTCATTTCTTCCTTCCATTCTTACACCTCCTTTAAATATTAGTAAAAGATAGCTAAAAGTCATAATTAAATGTTTAATTCATAATAAATCTGAAAAAATTTCAATGATTCGTAGAAAAATAATAAAAAAATTAATAAAATTTTTATAAAATAAAAAATAAGAAAAACAATTTTTAATTTTTTTTTGAAAATTAAAAAAAATAGTAAAACTCCATAAAACAATTAAAAAAAAATATGGATACCTTTTCCACCGCCTATACTACCTCCCTGAACCACCACCTCCGATCGGTGTAAAAATGCCACTTTTTTTTTTTAAATTCCACAAAAATGGCATATTTCTCTATGAGAATGCTAACATTTTCATTCTGCCAACTTGAATCCTTTTGACTTTTGCCAAAAATGGAATTCATAATTTTTTTGGCATTTTTTACCCCGGTGACATGAGGTGGTGGTACCGCCTCCCTGCACCACCACCTCCGACCGTTAAAAAAAATGCCATATTTCCTACAAACTTCAATTTTTTTCCGGAAAATGCCAAAAACATGACATATTTTTCTTTGGCAATGCCAACATTTTTTTCTGCCATCTTAAATCATTCTGAATTATGCCAAAAATATGGAATTCATAATAATTTTGGCATTTTCCCCCCAAATGACTAGAGGTGGTGGTGCTGGGGCGGCAGAGGCGGCGGCGACAAAAAAAAATTGATTTTTTTTAATTTTTTTTTTAAAAATTTAATTTATTATTATTCAAAATATTTTTATTAATTTTTTGGTATATTTTACGAATTTTTATTATTTTTTATTATTTTATTATGAATTAAAACATTCCAATAGATATAAGGGTATATTTGTCCAAGACACACATAATTAGTCCTATGGAAACATAGTTTAATTTATTATTATTCAAATTGAATGACTTTTAGTCCTATTTTGATAATTAACTCAAGTATATATCCAGACAGAGACTTTCAAATCGATCAAAAACGTAATAGGATTAAACATGTAGAAAATCACCCATACAGTAACAAATTGATTGATTATTAACGAAACAAGAAACAATAATGGTAAAATTGACATGAGTAATTTCACCTTTTTTATTATGGTCTTCCAATATTAATTTACTTCTACTATAATTAAGCCCATGACCGTCTTTGACTTGAGAGGATGTTCCTCCATTCCATACTAGATCAGATCAGATTTGAACATTTATAAAATATACAAAGATTAAACGTTTACAGACCAGACCACTAGAGACTAGACCAGACAGAAAATTTCCGTCAAAATAAAAACATCCTTAGCCGTCAATTAGAATAGATTCAAGAGGGAGATGAAAGTCCTTGGAACACCTTTCTTTTGGTGTGGATTGAACTATTCTTGTTATCAAAGATGAATGGTGTAGAGGAAGATGAACACTTCTTTCATGTCTTCTACAATGAAAAGTGAAGAGGACGATGAATGGAGTGGATTTGGACGTAGATCAATTTTTTTGGAAGATTTCCCTAAATACTTAAATAGGACTAAATGAAAGAATAATTGCAACAATAGGAGTATAATGTTTAAATCACCAAAATAGGACTAACTCTTCCTATTCTACCATTTCCCTTGTCCTTCCTAATAGGATTTTTTAAATAATCATTATCAAACATAAAAAAGAAACAATAAAGGTAAAATTTACATGACTAATTCCATCTTTTTAGTCCTCCCAATAACGAAACAAGAAACAAGAAACAATAAAGGTAAAATCTACTACTCCTTATAATTAAGCCCATGACCGTCTTTGACGGGAGAGTTGACGTGAGAGGATGTTCCTCCATTCCATCTTTAACGAGTGAGAGTTGACTTGGTAGCAAATGTGCCCAACCTTCCTCAATAGGTATTGAATGGAGCCAAGAACCAATGTCAGTGGTGTCAATTTAACAAAGTATTATGGAGTATTTTTTAAGCAGAATACTACTACCTCCGTCTCACTATGTTTGAGAGAATTCGGCTTACGATGTTTGGCCAACGATAAATCAAATTGATCCCTATCCTATACGCACTCAAATTATTTTTAGAAAATAAAAATCACACATTTAGAAACTACATTAAAAAATTTTACAAAGACGCAAAAACCAGAATCAAATTTGATATATAAAATAAAGGGAAAATTGTACTTTTAGTCCCTAAAATAGTCACAAAAATGAAATGTCGGACCCGTACTCCCAAAAATGCACTCAATTGTCCTAAATGTTGTAAATGTGGTCCTTTTAGGTGTGAAATATACAATGTGGGCGAGAGTATATTTCACTCTTTAAAGGACCACATTTATAACAAATTGGACAATTGAGGGTGACATTTACAATATCAGAAATACGGGTCCGCCATTTCATTTTCATGACTATTTCAGGGACTAAAAGTGCAATTTTCCTTAAAATAAAAGATTAAGAGTGATTTGTGTTGACCAAGTGAATAGTGTCTGAGACAATCTTAGCGGGACGGGGGGAGTATTATATTATAATCTATAAACACATAAAGCAAAAAGAGCAAATTTGTCGTTCCTTGGCAACTTTAACCAATTCCATGGCAACTCATTTGTTTATCAAGTGTATGGTGAAAGCAAAATCAAAAGATTGGACCAATTGCAATAGTGTTTGAGCTTCAACTCATTGTTCAGTTTTAAGTTGGTGTTGCAATTTTCAATTGCCTGGCTTTCAATTGATTTAAGTTGGTGTTCCAATTTTTTAAAAATATTACATTGAACCCCATTTCTTTAATTAGTGGAGTGGTATCAATATATAATTTATGAAACATTACATACACCTATACAAAGAATTTTATGTTTCAGTTGGGGGGTCCGAACTGAGGGTATGACTTTGGAGAGACCAAGGTGGAGGGCAAGTATTCGTGTGGAGGGGTGATCTCGTATTATTTTTTCCCCTCATCTTTTTTCTTCTTGTTTTTTTATTCTTTTATCCTTATATATATAAACATTAATTTTGCCCTTTTTATTTTATCATTCTAGGTATATTCATCTCGTTTTATATTATCTTTTTATATTAGCTTATTTTTTTATCTTTATTTTCTTTCTTTTCCTTTTGGTGGTGATATCATGTATCGATTCATGTTAGCCGACACCAATATATTTTGAGATTAAGGTTTGATGAACGTTGTTGTTGTTGTTGTTGTTGTGTCAATTTTAGAATTTTCAAAAATTTTATATACCTACTTATGGGGAAAAAAAATCAGTGGTGTCAATTGACACCACACCTCCCTTGTTGGCTTCGTCCCTGTTCCTCAACCTTCCTTTTACAATGTTTTTACTTGGACCGTTTTCAGTTCCAGATTAGATCAGACTTGAACAGTTATAAAATACACAAAGATCAAACGTTTACCAAACCAGACCACTTCAGACTAGATCATATTAGAAAATTTCAGCCCAAGTAAAAAATTCTTAGTCGACCATTAGAATTGTTTAAACTACTCTTGTGGTCAAAGATGATTTGTGTAGAGGAAGATGAACATTCTTTCATGTCTTCTACAATGAAAAGTGAAGACGACGAATGTAGTGGATTCAGGCGCAGATCGTTTTTTATTACAGATCGATGATGGAATTATGAAAAACTATATATGAATTTGAGATTATGTTAGAAGTACATGTTTTTGGGATTAATTTTAAAAAAGCATGAAAAAGTTGGATTATTCTTGTGAAACTTTTCAATAATAAATTACATCGACTCATTAAGGGTATTTGGAATTGATCATACTATTACTTCTTTTTATAAAATTAGATAAGAATGAGTTTTGAGAAATTGTTTTTCATACAACATCTAAGAATTGCTTCTATGAGCATTTTGGAGTATTTAGGGAGGGTTTGCAACTGCTTCTGCTTAAAAAAAAGCACTTTTGGAGATGTAAAGAAAAAGTGATTAGTAGAAAAAGTTGATAGTGTTTGAGAAAAAAGTGATTTTGAAAAGTAAAAGTTGATAGTGTTTGGTAAAATAAGTGCTTTTTGTGTAATAGAAAGGGGGAAAACACTTTTGACACGCAAGCCGAGAAAAAGTAAAAATTGGTAGTGTTTGGTAAATAAGTGCTTTTTTAAGCCAAACGTTGAGAAGTGTTTTTTTTAAGTGATTGCAAACACTCCCTTAAAAGTACTTTCAATTTTC